AGGATCCAGGCACCGCTACTGCATGTTTTTGACTTCTCTTCCTCGTACTGGACCTTCCTTGCCCAAGGAAGAGTGGCAATATCATTCTTTCACCTTCCTGTTTCCCTCATTTGACAATCCTACACTGCCCTGAAGCAAAACTAAACTTCAAACTGAGGCTGACCTTCTTTACTTAAAAACCATGCTTTTTCAAGGAAAAGCTCAAAGCTCCTTCCTTTTATTTTTGTCATTAAAACTTAAAAACCCACTAGCTTTTTTTTCCCCAGGATAGTTTGACTTAAGATGCTCGACTGTACCAGAAGAGTCTTTCTGAGCAGTTCAGTTGCATTGTCTTTTCTCAAATAGGAGGAACAAGTTTTGATTTTTGAAAAAAAGATTGTCAGCATCATTAAATGTAAGGTACTTCTTCCAGATGGAAAAAAGGAAATTAATTTCATGTGCTTCTCCCCCTAAACCTACTTATATTCAGATCTATTATCTTTTTTCTAAAAAGAAGGATTGGAATATAATGTATCTGCTCTAAACTTACCTGTTCACACTAATAAAGAACACAACTGTACAAAAAATTTGTTCCAAGTTACCAGTTGCCACTTGCCTATTCTAGTGTTTTTTGGGTTTTGTTGGTTTTTGGGTTTTCTGGGCTTTAAGAAATTTTAAAAGTAGTTACAAAATAACAAAAGATAATTTGTACTGGCCTATGACAAATAATAAAATACAGAATATTTCACCCTATTTTAAAACATTTGACTGTTACGGAGTTGGAGCTTTGCATTCAAACAGTAGTTAAAATAACAAGCAGACTATAGAAAACACGAGATGCAAAGAACTCACTCCAGATGGAATTTACTGTGATTAAGACTTAGGTTGGATTATATTCTAATTACAAGAATCAGCAAAAAGTTACCACTTACAATAAATTCTAAGAATTAGGGCTCATTAAAAGTAATCTTGACAAAGATGTAATGATTAGCTCAAAGCTTCAACAGTACTAAACATTAATGGAAAAATTCAAGAAAAAGTTGGCTACTGTCACTCTTGATGGAATTAAGCCTCCTGGAATTACAGAAATAATGGTATATTCAATCCTGCATCTTCATTCAGTAAAGGATTCTTTCCACAGATAGGTATTTTCTATAATACTCAAGAAATGTACAGTAAAACCCATCTGCTATCACACATAAAACTTGGCAGGCTATCTACTCTCTCCCAAGTGACTGTTTTTTTTTCTTTTTTTGGTGATATGCATTCAGAACATCATCTCACAGAAATCAAAGACACTCTTGATAATAACTCCTATGACTCTTCTTTGGCACTTCATTATTCTCTTCTGGCACCATCTCTTTCATCAGTACCTCAAAGTATATTTTTCCACTTTATCTAATCAACATTGTAAAGCAGTAAATTTATGCTTACTAACTTAAGCTAATTACAGTAGATCATACAGTCACTTAAAAATATGCATTTCATCCTCAGGCATTTTTTCTTCCAAATTATAACTTCATTAAGAAAGTAAGACTGAATACAGACATTTACTCGGTTGGTATAATTCCAAACACAAATGAGATGAAAATGTACTTCCTCAATGCCAGTGTATAGTTATTGCTATTAACTCCAGCATCATAAACGTAACTACAGCAAAAAAAAAAGATGATTTTGAGCAATGAAGCACCTGTATGTCATTATTTAGCAACATCATGAGAACTATGAAAATGTTTATTCTTCAGTAAATTCACTGTTGATGGCTATACTGCTAAAGGCTCTCCATCAGTCCTGAATTTAGAATGTTAGTATTGACAGACATTTTTTTCTCTTTGTAATATCTTAAACAAAGAAAGCATTAATAGCTTAATGATCAGACACATAAACCATCAGTCAATCTGGATGCCATGCAATCATTATATCAAAACTATCTCCATTTAGCACAAACCCTTTGAACCCTTTAAATCAACCTGGACAAATTCCCTCCTTTCCCAAAAGGATTCCTAAGGTAAACCCATGCTTTATCACAGACTTAGTATTTTTCAAATATCTTTTTCCATCCAGTTAACTCAGCTTGGTAAAATATAATCACTGAAAGACATCCCTGAAAATGTCCCTTGCTTTTTGAATTTTTCAGACTTTATAGTACTTGAAATTGTTGCCACATCCTGCTATAAGCTAATAACAAATATGCTAGTCTTGCAGAATAGTCACCAACTCTCCTGAAAGTAGTTAATTGCATAATGAAATCTCTGAAATATTATCAATATCCAAAAAAGCACTCTAAAATAGCTTCCTACCATATATTTCAACAGGTAGTAAAACATAAAACTCAAAACCAGCATCCATTTTAAAGTAGAGTTTGCATGGAACCATAACACAATGCTCAGAAATACTAACTACATTCTGTATTTTTAATATGGGTTTAATTTTAGTTGCACGGTAACAAAGTATATTGGGACAAAACTGCAGCTAACTTTTGCAAGAATGAGATTAACTCTTATTCAGTTTTGGCATCGCTTTCTTGATGGTTTCATTAGCAGAAGGACAAGCTCATTTATCTCACTGATTAAAAGCAGAGATCTGACAGAGCTCATTCAATTTCTGGCCTTATACTTCTCAGACTGTGTAGACTTCATGAAAGAATCACTGAAAAGGCGGAATGTCCATGCATTTCCAACACTGAACAAGAGCAACCCTTTTAGCCAGTTTAATCAAAGCCAAACTACTTAGGTGCTAGTAAGAAGTTACTGCTGGAAATAACATATGATGCCAAATAGCTGTTATTCCCAGAAAATATGCAAGTTTGCAGTATAACTTCCACTGTATCTTTGTAGACAAAAGGAAATAAATTAATTTTCTTAGAAAAAATTCTGCAGCAACAGAAACAATTTCACAGTCTGAGAAAAAAATGGTGACAACGGGAACACAAAACATCACTTTTGTATCTGCTCAATATCTAACTGAAGAAACTGCTAGATCTAGAAAACAAGACGCAATCTGCTCAAAATGGAACAGCATATATGAGAATAACATTAATGTTATGTTCAGAGAAGCATTTATTTTATGGTACTATTATATCCTAAGCATTTCCATTTTATTACAAAAACACTTCCATAGTTTAATGCTTACAAGACAGAATTTATTCTGGAGATGCAGACTGCATCCAAACTGTCTTCTAACACACTACCTTCAAATATAAGTACTACAAACCACTGTTCAGAATTGTTTGAAGAGTAAATAAAAATTCTTCAGAGTACTTTCTTTCACCAGTGTTCCACTCAACTTCTTGCAAGGAAACCTAGCAAGGAAGCTTAGCTAGAAGCTTCTTTCTGTAAATATAATTGGTATGTCAGAAGATTTCTCCCTTTCCTGTCTAAACATCTCCTTAAATTACGTTCAGATTTCTGTGGTATCGTAACAATTTCAATATGGCACAAATTTCAGTATTCTGTAAAAGTTTCATCCCCACTTCCACCTCCAGTTACTGTTGGCTTACATTTTTCATCCTAGCTGTTGTTACACTACTTATTTGAGGTCTTACAGCTTTAATATGGGATATTGTTAACTACTGCATCAAAACCACATTGAGATTTATATTGAAGTGATATCCTGGATTTTAGGATACACAACAGATTCCCCCATGTCTTAACAGAACATGTGCCAAAGCAGTGCAATTCCTGACAGCAAAATAAAAGTGAGTAATACAAAAAAATGGTTGTTTGGGCTTTTCTGAGACTCACAGGAGCTTTATTTCTATTCTGCTCATGGAAATGTGTATTCAGTAGTGCAGCTTGGTTTTTCAAGTTCAAATGGGGACACAAATAATCTCAAAAAAACCTTCTGCTTTGCCTGCTATGGGTCAATATCATGTAAAATGCCAAACACTTTCCCCTCCCCAGGCAGAAATTGCAGATGATCCTAGCTTCACTTGGAACCCAGCACAAGCTTTCTAAATGGCCACAAACCATTCTAAGCATTCCTGGTATGTAACAAAATCTGGATTCACTGTATATTGCAAAAACCCTGTACAGAGCATAAAAATTAAAATTAATGCATACTTAGATAATACTTATTTTTTAGTTTATAGAAGTCATTTGTGAAAGGTTATGCATGTATACTATACAGTTCAGACACCTAAAAAGAACTGTTGAAATGTATTCATGTCAGAGTTTATTTCTCTTCCAACTGTGGCATGCTATCTTAAAGTATTTTATTCTAGAATCCAACAAGAAGGCTGGACTTGAAACTAACTGAAGATGAACTTATTCCTAATTAAAATGAAGCAGTGTTTAGCTGAGGACCTTAGACAAGGATAGTACACAGCATTATCTTTCTTTCCAGACCATTCACCAAATTTTGCACACAATCTCATATAGTCACATTCATTAAATCAGAGCAAAATTTGCAAGATGTATAAAAATCCAAGATATATAAAAAATGCAAGACTATCTAGAGCACAGTTTGGAGAATACAAATACATTATCTATTTACAGTATTTTCTTCATATAACTTTCATACATCACACAAGCCAATGTGCAAACACTGAAGACCAATTACGGGAAATGTTTAATAGATTAAATATACTGCATTATCGTACATACGTGTCTAGATTTTATAGGTCTGCTGGAATGTGAGCTTGTGATTACAAATGCATGTATATTATATAGTTTTTATATTAGTCTTTTAAAAATTGGGGCTATTCTGCTTTTGCCAACAATCAGACAGCTGTTAAAACCAGCTACACTTGCATTAGACACTCTTACTTGGCTTGATAAGGAAGGATTAAACAGAATTTAGCTGGTAATATTCATAAATTCTAATGAAACATTCTATAATTAGCTCCTACTTCTCCACTATCCTGTGAAATCAATGTAATTTGCATTAAGCACCTCCTTAATAAGGCTATTAGATCACTGTTCCAAGAACAGTCTTCAACAAAGTACATGAGGAAATGTGTAAATTTAAACACTTAAACACTGTCAATGAGCAGTTTTCAAGCAGATCTTACAGATTCTTACCAGCTCTTGTGTATCTTCTGCTAATGGCAAAAACGTTGCTTCCAGAATAGCAACTTGATCAGTGCTAAGCTTCTGCCACAGACTAATCAGCATAATCAGCAGATGGGTGGCACTTTTCAACTTTGTGAATGCCTGGAACATGTTGGCTTGATTTTCTTCTGCTGCATCTGCTAGAGCTATTACCTGCAAAAATTACAAACGTCTATTAACTATAATTTTACCATCCGTGAACACTTAACACTGAAATTACCTTTGGCACACACTTGCTTTCCTTTACAAGATCTGGAGAAATTCTGGTTTCCATAAACACAAACCACAGAGTATTAAAAGAGTTATCGTTTATCTAGATTTTGCTTTTGCATACCCAGGCAATTTCAAGTCCATATGGCAACATGATTATCTAGCACAATCAGCATAGAAAGGATTCTGTTTAGAACATATTTGTAAGGCAATACAATGATCCCCATAACATAACACATGATAACAAACTAACTTTCAGTTTTATACCACACAAGACACTAATCCTCATTTAACTGGCAAGCCTACTGGTTTAATAATAAAACATTAAAACCACCACATATATTTTATCCAATTAAAAATGCAGTATATCATTCCCACATGAACATAACCTCTATCTTTTAATTGATTAAAACTCAGATCTATGTTTTTGCACCAGTTGCTTCAGCTTCTATATCAAAATGTAAACGTTATGGCTCATGTATATGAAGGCAACACCACTTCAACAGACTTTATGAAAAAAAAAAAATAAAAAGGAAAAAAAAGCAGATTCACTTCTTGCAAATTGCTAGGATAGTTTTGGTGAGTACTTCAAGATGGGGAAAACAGAAGAGCTATTATATGATATTCTACTCATTTCAGAAATAAGTTGTAATTGTATATAATATCGTCCACTCATAGCATTACAAAAGCGGGTATTTTGAAAAACACTGTTATAACTTTTACTTTCTTTATATGCAATGTTTAGGCATTTTTCATCCCTGATGAAAAGTGAATATGACAGTGCTTTCAATATACAATTGCTATCATTTCAATTTGACAAGAGATTTTCCACTGTATTTACAATGAATTATTTTAATTAAATGAATGGAACGGAGGTTAGGGGTTTATCCTGGGGGACCACATTTACAGGACCTGCTTTCATGAATGCCACTACATCTTCAAGATCCTGAATAATACTTGGCTTACAGCAGCACTGATTATCTTCATTGTCATTTAAATCAATGGAAAGCACCACCCGCAGCCACTTTCTCCTTCTGTTTATTTATCTGCAAAATGGGGTAATAGGTGCTTAAAGTGTAATTAGTCTTCCAACAATATTTACAAAGTTAAACTTGCCGACCTTGATCCATTAACATTTGGCAACAGTAGGAAAACTAAATACTATACAATGCATCCTCAGCCGGGAAACAAAGCCAACCAGCTGTTAGCATTTGGTGGAGGAAAACTATTTTTAAACTACAACACTGGCATTAAGAGATGTGTGTGTGCTCCGCCCGAGCTCCCATGTGACTGAGGAGATAAAGAAAACAGAATTTTAGGGAACTATAAATATGAAATATTTCAAACAAAATTGTGTTCATAGCTTTTAGATTTTAAAACGTAATGCTTCCAAATAAAATGAAGACCCCACAGGACACTCATGAGTCCAAACACTGCATAAATCAGAGCCAAGTAAGAAAACAAGAAAAAAAAGCTCAGCTAAGCATGCAAAGGAGAAATGAGAAATTAATTCCAAATAGTGAAAACCAACATGCCACACTATGGTTAAAGAAGAGTAACTGAATCACACAGGCATATCATCTGATGCAGCCATGCATGCTTGCAGTTTGCTCAGAACAAAGCCCTGATGTTCTTCATACCTCATGTTCTACACAAAGCGGAGATCCAATTTGCTGTTAAGAGTTATGGGTGACAAAGCTACATGACAAACACAACACTACACAGTATCCTACATTACTTGCATCTGAACACCTTACGCAGTAGTTGTATGCACTACACAGTTTGATCTTTTTGAGGAGATGAGCAACAAGAGTAAAGTTCTCCTCAGCCTAAAAGGGCTTTCAAAGATCTAATCACGTTTCCTGTCCAATAGGCATTTGAGAATGCTGGGAAGTAAAATATACTAGGATGAATTTAAGACACTGATGACATTCATCAGCATGCTTCCTATAATATAACTACTGAATGGGATAGTGCAATGGATTAATTCAGAATTCCTGGAATTCACAACACAGGCAAGTTAGCATATCCTATTAGGGAAAATGCTCAGCTGATCTCAATTTTGCTGAAAAAGCAGGCAAATACAGTTGCACTTCTGTTACATCTATCTGAACTCCACCTACACAAAGGTAAAGTACACCTTCCAGACTGAGTCATTAATTATTCCCTAGGTGGTCTCTCACTGTGCTGTATTTCAACTCACCCTATACTGTATACCTCAGAGGCAGAAATCACACAAAAAGAAATGACTGACATGGCCTTTCCCTTAAGGAGCCTTCATCTCAGAATTTGCTTTCTTTCCATATTATAACTATGATCAAAGGAGATGGCTCAGTTTTTCATAGACTACAGATGTAAAATAAATAGGGCCTTAAGCAACCTGATCTAGCGGGACGTGTCTCTGCTCATAGCAGAGGGGTTGGAACTAGATGATCTGTGAGGTCTCTTTCAACCTAAACCATTCTGTGATTCTATGATAAATATCCCAGTACTCCCAATCAATACCTAATGTACCAAGCCTATGTGCTATCCTGAAAGTTGCTTCATAAAAAAAAATTTAGAAGTACAGCTGTTAAAGTTTGCCTTTGGTACAAAATTCTGTCATTCTAATGCACAATAATACAAGACAAATATTCTACCGGCGACAGACTTAAGTTTCTAAAAGAGAGGTGCAGGTTTGTGAAACACAAAACAATCACATCTTTTCTTGACTGCATACGTATATATATATACACACATATATCTTTGCACTTGCAGTGAAAGCAGAGACACCAACCGGAAACTATGAAGTAAGAAGTCCACCTATATTGCATACAGCCCAACACTGCCCATTTAACATTTTTCTTTCTCCTTTAATAACAAAACTTTGAAACAAAGAAAACTTAAGTCTTTCAAATAAGTTTTTAAAACTTTCTTTCTAAAAGCAATGGAAAACAGGGAAGTGGCTGGCGCAGGAAAAGTTAAAGAGATGCTGGAATAGGTTGAAAGTCCAGTATTGAACACACATTTTGACAACTGATCAAACCTTGCTTTTCATTTATATCCTTTATTTTAAGGCCAAGTTCTTGCCCTGTTACAACACACCCACCTACAGCAAAGTACATGCTGGTTGAGTTATTAATGAAAGATTGTAAAAAGAAACATTATTCTCTCAATTAAGATAATATTTAAGATCTTTACTGTCATAGTCAGATTTGCAAAGGTAGAGCTGAAGCCCAGAAGTATTTTAATAATCTTGAGAACTTCACCCCTCAACATGATTACCAGGATTTGACTGCAAGAATTTCCAAGCCTAGAACATGTCTCATGTTTTCAGCCTCAAGTGTTCAAGCAGAAAGATTTCTCTTCCTGCTTATTTCATTGCTAAGTAGACCCTGTAAGATGTGAAGTATTTGAAAACTGTAAACTAATGGTGATTCAAGTTTTAAAAATAATATTTCTCCATTATTAGTGCTTAAAGATAGTTTTTGGGCGTTGTTTAATATCCAGCAATAACTTCAAAATTACTAATCCCTCTTGAAAAAGGCTTGCAACATACCTACTCTTGTACGTTCAGACAAGTTCCCTGGGGCAATAATGATCATCACTCTTCCAGGCTTATTCCAATAGTACAAAAAAATACAAATACTATTCCAAAAATACAAAATTCTTTCCTATTAGCTGGTTAGTAAGTTGAAGAAAACTTTGAAAAGGGGCAAGAAATGAGCCTTAAGTTCCAAGGAGTTTTCTTTTGAGTTGCTACCAAACACCACTGGGACTGAAGACTCTCACAGGTTTTATGCCATATTCTAAAATGGAGAACAGGAAATGTGACTGATTGTTTTTTCTTTTATAAAACAGCCAAAAAAAACATAACTGTCCACCACTGGTAAAATCTTAGCCAACTAGTCTTATTCTCACCTAGTTCTATCATACTGGGTTCAGCTTCCAGTAAATTTGAAGTATCCTCATTTTTAGCAGAAATCAAATTTGAAGAGAGCTTAAGTTTGGTATTTAAGGAGTAATTCTTCTCTTTACATTTCATCCACAAAACTGAAAAGTCTCCTACACAATTTTTATTTTTTTTTAATATGAAGAACACCACCAGAAATGTTTTGGTTTGGGTTTTTTTTTGAAAAGGACAAAGAAATGATGAACCAGATCAAGGGAGGTGATTCTCCCCCTCTACTCCACTCTCACGAGACCCCCACCTGGAGTATGTGTCCAGTTCTGGAACCCTCAACATAAGCACATGGAGCTCTTGGAGTGAGTCCAGAGAAGGCCTGTGAAGATGTTCAGCCTTGAGAAGGCTTTGGGGAGACCTTATAGCAACCTTCCAGTACCTGAAGGGGCTACAGGAAAGCTGGGGAGAGGCCTTTTACAAGGACATGTAGTGATAGGACAAAGGGCAATGGTTTTAAACTGGAAGAGGTGAGATTTAGGCTAGACATTAGAATAAATTCTTTAGTCAGAGGGCAGTGAGACACTGGAACAGGTTGCCCAAAGAAACTGCAAGATACCCCCTCCCTAGAAGTGTTCAAGTGCAGGTTGAATTGCACTTTGAGCAAGTTGGTCTAGTGGGAGGTGTCCCTGCCCACTCAGGGGGGTTGGAACTCGATCTCTAAGGTCCCTTCCAACCCAAACAATTCTATGATTCTATGATTTTATGTTGAATTATCAAGACTATTATGTAAATTAATCCCCAGTAAATTAATCCATGATCAAAATCTTTATACCTGGTTTCAAAAGATACAATTATATACAATTATTCAAGCAAAAACAGATCACAACACACAGGTCTTTTCCTGTACTTTTTCTTATGGAACAATTTATTGCAAGGTAATTATTTTTAAACAAAAATCTATCTTCTTAAAGCAGGACTTTAATGCATGTTAAAGCAGAAAACATGACAGTACTACTCTATTTCACCCTTTCCCACATTCACTCATTCTAAAGAAATACAG